CGGTCCAGGGCCTGGAAGGGGCCTCCAGCTCTTTCGTGTGCCACCTGCTCCCTGCGCTGTTGGGGGCGGCCCACGACAAAGACCAGGAGGTGTGCAGCAACGCCGTCTTCGGGCTGGGTGTCCTGGTGGAGCACAGCAGGGAAGCCATGTTCGAGTATCCTTGATCCCATCCGCCTGGGGAGGGGCCTGATATCATATGGCGGGAATAGCCTTGGGGGACCAGGAAGAAGATCCAGCCTACGAAATGGTTAGATAAGAGGGGGCCTGGCCCAGAGCTGCACAACGGACAGAGGAAGAAACTCAAAGACCAACCTCCTCTATCATATCAGGCTGGAAAAGAGACGGTGGGAGATTCATACCTTGAGCCCTCCGAGATTCTGTTAATTAATTTTACGTATATAGCTAGTCCTTGACTTAACAGTCTATTTAGGGACCATTCAAAGTCACAGTGGAACTGAAGAAAAGCGTCTTAGGAGCGTTTTTCACACTTAGCGACCGTCGTGGCATCCCCGCAGTCACATGATCAAAATTCAGGCGCTTGGCCACCGACTCGTATTTATGACGGTCCCATCCTCCCGGGGTCACTTGATTCCCTTTCTGATGAGCAAAGTCAACGGGGGAAGCCAGATTCACTTAACAACCACAGTGATTCGCTTTACAATGGTGTGCAAGGAAGGTAGTTGAATGGGGCAAAACTCATTGAATGACGGTCTCCCTTAGCGAGAGAAATTCTGGGCTGAGTTGTGGTCGCACATCGAGAACTAGCTGTGTAGCGCAACACATTTAATTGCCCCGGAAAGGAACTGTGTGTATGTATGTGCCTTTCTCTACACAAACAACACAACACACGTATACAATTATTATTTTTTTCCTTAATTTCGTTTGACCTGGCCAGACACTACCCCCAAATTCTGGCGCTTTTATCCAACCTCATTTCTCAAGAGAAAAACAACCGAGTAATCGACAACGTGTGTGGAGCCATCGCAAGGATGATAATGGCCAATCCTGGAAGGATGCCCATTGAACAGGTCAAATATAATTTTTTGTGGGTCTTGTGTGAGTGTGCAGGGAAGATCCGCAGGGCTTCAGCCCATGGAGAGAAACTGGAGAAGGAGGTATTCTTCCATCCTGCCTCGTAAGGTGGAATTATCTACCTTGTTTTATTTATTGTATTCAATTTGAATACAGTTTGTTTTATTTATTGTATGCAATTTTATTTATTGTATTCAATCCCGCTTTTATTACTTGGTCCGTAACTCAAGGCGGAGAACGTACTTAATCTCCTTCCTCTTTTCCTCATCACAACCCTGTGAGGTGGGTTAATTCTGAGAGTTAGTTTTCAGGCCTAAGGCAGGACTAGAAGTCACCATCATCTCCTGATAATTGGTTCAGAGATACCCAGCCAGGTTTCATGGCTAAGGCAGGACTAAAATTCACAGTCACCTGGTGATTGGCCCAAAGTCACTCAGCTGGCTCCCGTGGCCGAGGTGTGGAACTAGAACTCCCAGGCTTCTGATGGTTGGCCCAAGGACACCCAGATGGGTTTTGTGCCTAAGGTGAACTAGAATTCCCAGGCTTCTGATGGTTGGTCCAAGGACACTCACATGGGTTCTCTGCCTAAGGTGAACTAGAATTCCCAAGCTTCTGATCGTTGGCCCAAGGACACTCACACGGGTTCTGTGCCTAA